ACACATACAAATAAATTTGTAAACATAGTGCACACACATCACATGTCATGACGTAACATCTAAATATCATCTAACATGAGTACAAATCATCTCATAATTTAAATAACATCATAACTCATGTAATGCAACTAAATGCATATGAATCATTTAACGTCTAGCCGATCGGACTTTTCTTAGCGTCTTAAGCACTTCATATCATCTAGCCTCAAATTCATCTAGAGCCCATATTATCGGGAGGCATGCTTATGCGTTATTTAACATTAAAGCATGAATGGTTTCTAGGACATACACTGACATTCACTAACAAGTTGGGTGCGAGGTGAAGATGGTTTAAGTGTATTAGCAGAGGGGGAGTGATATGCTGGGGTTGGGGCCAATGTGCAACACCAAAATCAAGCCGTTTTCTGGCGCCAACCAACAAACACGATGGAGGCTAAGAAGAGGAGAGAAGAAGAAGAGTAAATGATATTTTTGTATTCATAATGAATATCACTTAACTGAAATTATTAACGGAATATAAGATTTGGATATTAAAGTGGTATTTTAAAAGTCTGTGGTGGGAAAGTGTCATTAGGCCATTACTTGGGCGGCAAAAAGTTGTTTTCTCTTTTTCTAATCACAAGTGCAACCAACTCCATCCCCACCTTTGGCATGGCAGAGTTTTGATTTTGTAAGCTTTTATTATTATTATTATTTAATCTATGATTCTGATTTTGTGTTTGATTGTGATATGGGACTGGAAAGGAACTAAAATTTGTGGGGAGATTTTGTGCTGATTATGTATGCAACTGGAAAAGAATTAGAATTTAAGGGAGAAGTATATCATTTGGCAATATTAGAGATGGAATGAATCGGAAAGAATTCAACTAAGCTAAAGCGGTTTATGGTTTTTGTTGAATTATTTTGGGTGGTTGTAAATTTTGTAAGTATTTTTTTGTATGATTTTTTTTTATTAGAATGTATTATTTTTTTAATTACTAATTTAATTTTTTAATTAATTTTTGGATTAAAAAATCCAGAAATTAATGCTCTAAGGGTAGTTTAGTCTTTGTACCACTGTAACAATGTCAGATGATTAAATTTATTAACGACACTAACGGAGTGTGGGACTTTGTGTGTTTCCGAAACCAGGGGTGGGAAAGTATATTCCATAAAGTTAGGGTGGAAACTATTTTAGTGGTTAATGGTGAAAACTCATTTAGAAAGTGGTTAATTATTAAGAATAAACGACTTTTGCGCACCCTAAATGACACTTTTTCACTCAAAACGTTTTAAAATACAATTTTGTTACCCAAACCTTGTACTCTGTTAATAATTTCTATTAACTACAGTCATATTTATGGTAAAAACAAAAATACTCTTTACTATTTAACTGACATTACTTTTATGTCATTGTCAATTACTTAATATACCCAGTTTTAAAATATAAATTATTAATATGCCCTCATATAATATAAATTAAGAATAAAATATTTATTCTTCCCTTCTTTTATTAAAAAAAAGCCCTAATTAATTTTTCTTTTCATCTCCTTTTTTTTATTTTTCGTTTTTTCCATCTCTTCTCCTCCTCTTTCTTCTACCTTTCATTTACATTTTCTTCTCTTTTTCTTATATCAGTTCTTCTCATTTTTTTTTTTTAATTTTATTAATCATTTTTTCACAGTATACTTACTCAAGAATAACATTTACAATAACATTTTTTTGTCACCAAAGAAAGCCTCCCTATAAACAATTTACATCAAAATTCCCTTCTAAAATAAAAGTCTTCAATTTTCTCACCATCCAACCAAATCGGCAGGGGAAAGTTAGCTGGGTGGAGATTTTTAACTAATAGGTGGTGTCAGGGGCGGATCCAGAAATCTTTATTAGGGTGGGCCAAACAAAAATTTTTAGTTCTAAAATTGAAAGTGGGTTACAATTTTTTAATATTTGACAATAAAAATTAAGGGTGGGCCAAAGTCAAACTAAATGGAAAAATGTATTTAATTTTTATTTTTTAAAAATTGAGGGTGGGCCATGGCCCACCCTTAATACACTTTGGATCCGCCCCTGGGTGGTGTGCAAGCTGGGTTGGGGAGTGAACGGCAATGACTGGTAGGGTTAATCTAGGCAGAACAAACACAAGAACACTCCAAATAAACAATCAAACAATACCCAAACTTCAATACAAACTCCAGATTACTCCATCAACATCAAAAAACAAGCCACAAAAGAAAATCCGAAAATACAAAACAAGAATCACCTAAAAATATAGAATAACAATCACGGCGCTACAGGTGGTGGTAATTGACGAGCAGGGGTTGACGGTGTGTGGGTGGGTTTTGAAGAGCAAGTGAGGGGTGTGGTGTGGTGTGACGGTGAGAAGTGAAATGGGTGGGTTGGAGGTGGGCAGAGCAGCGGAGGGGAGGTAGTGGGAGCAGTGACGGATCCAGGAATTTTACTATATGGGGGCAAAAAATAAACAAAAAAAAAAAAAAAATTAAAACCAATCATATTCATACTTTTTTTTTTTATTATTATGATGAGCTTCAACAAAAAATTACAAAATACAAATAAATATATTCAAAAAACATGATTTTTGTAAAAATAAAACAATTTTTCTACAATTGTCCTCGATGAGTTTTCATATTCTGAAAACGTTGGATAATTATCTCATCATCAACTGTATCAAACACATCTTTCTCAATATAAGTGACCAAGCAATCATTCATCCATTGATTTCCCATTCGATTGCATAACCAACTTTTCACAAGATTTATTTCAAAAAAAGTCATTTCAACGATCATAGTCGTAACTAGTAAAACCAATGCACATTTCACAAGCTTATATACCAACGGATACAAAATGTCTTTTTTAAACTGAACTAAAATCTTAGTCAAATCACCAATTCCTTATAACTCAGCAAAATTCATCACAAGAATGTATGTCAATAACATAAGTCCTAGTATGGTTCTCAAGTACCATCAACTCAAGTGCAGAAAAATCAGTTGGATAAAACTAGGTAAAATTGATCAACTTATACTTGTCAAAAGCAGAGAATGAAATGCTTGGATCTAAACATGTCATACAAAGAAGCAACTCAGTACCAACCTTAGTGAAACGAGTGTTAAATTCTTGAAGTTGTATATCTATTACTGTATAAAACAATTCAATTCGATAGTGATGCAAATTTTTCATGTGCTCAACGCTTCGTCATGGCCGCCTTCGAATTGCAAACATATCATCCATATTCAAAATGGCAATATCAGGTTTTTGGCAAAATGAAGAAATTTCACTCAACAAATATTTCCATCCTTCATCTCTCAACAATTGTAACCGTTGTTTTGGAGACTTTGACTAGGGTATAGCATTTACAGTGTCTTGATGTTTTCTCTGCAATGTTTGTGACAACTCATTAGTAATTGCCAATATACTTTTCATCATATGCAAGCTAAATGCAAAATCAAAGGAATAGATTACATCTAATAGATTTAGGGGTGAAATCGAATCAAGTCGAGTATTTGGTAAATCAAACTCAACTCGATCTCTATAATACCGAGTTCGAGTTTGAGTTCAAGCCTGATCGAACCTAAGAAATCAAGTTCAAACTCGAACTAGGTACTTGAAATTGGGAATTGAGTTCGAATTCAAGTTCGTATAATCGAGCTTTTTTCGAGTTTTAGTCGAGTTTTAATCGAGTTCAAGTTCGATTTCAAGCTCATCTAACAGAGGTGGATTTGCAAATTTTATAACTTTTAAATTACATAAGACCTCTATTACTTTAAAAAACTGTCAACTTAACCATTGAGCTTGGAAATACTCGCGAATATATTGAGTCGAGTTTTCCATTGAGCTTGGAAATACTCGCGAATATATTGAGTCGAGTTTTACTCGATTAACTACTCGAACTCGACTCCGGAGTCGAGTTCAAGCCAACATCAAGTATAGTTTGAGTAGCTCGACTTGATTTTCACCCCTAAATAGATTACATGCTTCACCCCTTTGTTCAGGATTTAAATCATTGTGTGCAAACCCAACAGCTCTTATTCCTTTTATTTTCACTCCCAATAAATTTTTTAAAAACTAATAGATCCCCTTGCATAAAAATAAAAATCACAAAGAATATGTAATAAATATATTAAAATTAAAAATGGGGTTTTACAACAAAAAAAAAATCCAAACTTACCATGGGGGCCGTGGTCAAAATCTCAAAGATTTATGAGGATAAAATTTAAATAAATATAAATAGAAATAGAAAATCTGAAATTTTTAAAAAATTGAGTGGGGGCCGTGGTCCCCACTCGTCATTCATTAAATCCGCCCCTGAGTGGGAGGCGTAGATAGGGGGCGTAGTGAAGAGAGGAGAAGTGAGCGATGATTGATGAATTTGGCTTTGGTTTAGATCTGAGAGAGAAAACATTTAAAGGAAAGATGAAATGGAAAAAAAAAAAAAAAAACAGAGTAGCATTATACCCACAAACACTTTAACTTAACTTTTTCTCAAAAACATCATTTGTTAGTTTATAATTTATGAGTTAACATGTGTCTTGTTGTCCAATAATAAGTTTTATCTGTCTAATAATGAGTCTTATATGATTAACCTAATTGTAAACTCCCATATGGAATTAGTGAGAAGGGTTTATTAAGTTAATATTATTTAAAAAAAAGGGAAAAAAACAGACGTGAACGAGAGTAGAAGGATGAGACACAAATACATGGCAAGCATTGAGCCTTACAATTACCTACACTTGAAATTTAAAATTTTGATTTTTTTTATACAAAATACTCCTATTAATTAACCATTCTACCCTTCCTTTTAACAAATTTATTACTATTCTATCCCTCTTTATAATAAAATTTACTAATAAAAATTTATTGTGGTTAACAAAATTGTACTTTAAAACATTTTGGATGGAAAAATATCGTTACGTCATTATTTGGATGAAAAAAACTCGTTTACTCTAATTATTAAATCCCAAAATTTGGTTATATTTATTAAATTCCCTATTTCTTATCTTATTGTTAACCCCCTCCAAAACCCAATACATAGAAAACGAAGAAGACGCAGCAGCATACAGCTCTTGAAGGGTTCTGAAAACCCCAACAAAAAAAAAAAAAAGAAAAGATCTTGAAGGGTTGAAGCTCATTTTAAATTTTATTATCATTTTGTAAGATAATATGTGTTGGGCCGCATAGTTCTCTTGTATTATCTTCAATTTATTCGTTTCATCTTCTATTCGCCGACGCATTGAACATGGTAAGTATTAATTTTTCATTGCATTTTTGTTTCGTATCATGCCTACTTTTTCCTTTAATAGTTATTAGTTCAATTATAAGGGGCTTAATTGAATAAATTTGTAAATTGGCTGAATTGGGATTTTTCTTTTTTTTTTTTGAGTTTTAAGTTAGAAATTTTGAAGTTGGTTTTGCATGTTAATTTTTTATTGATGGATATGGAGTTGGGTAAGATTGTTTATTATTATTTTTTTTTTTTTGGTTTATTATGCGAGCATATTGTGTTGTTGCAGCCAATTGCTGCTAATTAGATGGGCTTTTTGAAATATCTAAAGAGTAGAATGTGACCGTTATGTATTTCATTTTATTGCTTTGTGGATATTTCCTTTCTGAATGTTTGTAACTTAATAGATGCATGAAATTATTGTAGTTAAGTTTTATTTTTGGATGAAATAAAAATTTAAGCTATGAGCTTCTAAGTATTATGTTTACGGTTTTTAATTGTTTGTATTGTAGATGGAGCAACTGATTCTGGCATATGATTTGCTCTGAATTGTGATTGTAATTGAATTTATATGGGAGCAACTAAAAAAGAGCACCAAGAGTGAGGTTTGATGTTGCGAGGAAACTATCTTACTCCCTCAGTTACTAAAGCTTACCCTTTCTTATCAATGCTCTCCAAAATCCCATTGTTGTTGATGTATCAGAATAATTTATACACTTACCGTCCACTTGTCCATTACCATACTTCTAATTATAGCAAACCCATTATTGATACTTGGCACAATTCTATGGACACAAGAAGACATTTGTGCACCCTTGCTGTCTGCAGAACATCACACATTCCTGAATCCTCAAGGCCAACTACCATGAAAGCCTCAGATAAATCAAAGAGGAAAGCACGCCGAGATTCACCTGAGGGTGTGCTTAGACACAAGCTAGATATGTGTTCCAGGCATGGTGATGTTGTTGAAGCACTTTCCTTATATGATGAGGCACGGAGTAAGAACGTCATGCTTAGCCAACACCACTATAATGCATTGCTTTATTTGTGTTCCTCTGGCTCCAATGTTGAATCCAATGGAGATCGGAATAATGTGAATGCCTCTAATTTGGGCCTCGAAAGGGGCTTTGAGATTTTTCAACAAATGGTTAATGATAAAGTTGCTCCAAATGAGGCTACATTTACGAATGTGGCAAGGCTGGCAGTTGCGAAAGAAGACCCAGATATGGCTTTTGATTTAGTGAAACAAATGAAAAGTTTTGGTATTCCACCAAAGTTGAGGTCATATGGACCGGCGCTATTTGGTTTTTGTCAGGTGGGAAATGCACCTAAAGCTTATGAAGTTTATGCTCATATGGCTGAATCTGGGGTAATGGCTGAAGAGCCTGAGCTTTCTGCTCTTTTAAAACTCAGTGCTGATGTAAATAAGGTAGACAAGGTGTATGAGATGTTGCATCAGTTGCGAGCTTCAGTGAGGCAAGTCATGGAATCAACTTTTGGGATTATTCAAGATTGGTTCAACTCCGAGAAGGCTGCAAAGGTTGGATTGGTGAATTGGGATGTCAGCAAAGTTAGGGACGGAATTGTTAGGGGTGGAGGTGGGTGGCATGGACAAGGATGGCTAGGAAGTGGTAAGTGGAGGGTAGAGAGGACACAGATGGATGAGAATGGTGTATGCTGTTCGTGCAGTGAGAAGCTCATTTGCATTGACATTGATCCAAGAGAAACTGAAAACTTTACCAGCTCGTTATCGAACTTAGCTTGCCAACGAGAGGTTAAGGGTGATTTTAATAAGTTCCAGGTAGAACACTATCTCTCTATTCCTCTTTATTATTTTATAGTCAAGTAGGGTTTTTCGTGTGATGGACATCAATCTTTGATGTATTTCACTTGCTCCAAATCATTCAAATTTTAAAATGGGACTGGAAAGAATTATATTCTTTCATATCTACAATTGAAGTGAGACCTGCAATATGTGTGCTTGTGTTCTTTTTTTTTTTTTTTTTTTTTTTTTAAGGAACAGTTTTCTATTTAGAATTTTAATATGGGAAGTATTGGAAGAATGTTTCACTACGGTCTTTTGTACTATTATCCTTTTTGTTTGAGTGACATATTTGTCTATAACATGAAATGGTGATGAATCTTTTCCAGTTCAGGTAACTGGAAAGGCATAGTATAAGTGCTTATGAATGCCTTTTACGAAGTAATGTTGTTCTTAATTGAAATATGTCTTACATTACAAATCTTTCACCAGTATGATGGTCTTAAATTGTGATAACAATGAGAAGAGATGTACTTGTTCATTTTTTGTTTTATTAAATAGATATGAAACCTCTCTGACTGCAATTATCTAGACTTATATTTGCAGCGCTTGGTGTCATTCAAGTGCTGAAATTCCATTCAACATTTATTATTAAAGTCACTTGCAAAAGCAATAATAACTCATGTTCCAGCTGAGAGTATAAGGACTAATGAACTATTCTTCCCCTGGTTGTTATCAATACAAGTGACTCTCTAATTTTAAAATTATATTAAAATTTGATAATCAGCAGATTCAGAAGTACATAATGGTTTTGTAAACCATAAGAATGTGTGAGAGTCAAGCTGCTGATTTTAGCTGAGCTTGGCTTAGCTTGCCAAATAACGAGACAATCCTGAACTCAATTGAAGTCAGGCATGGACCCATAAAGAAGTCAAATTGTGGCCAAGAGACACATATCTTGCATACTTTACTTCAAAATTATAGAATTATAGCAACATTATGCTATATAAATTCATCAATATAACCAATATCTTGTTATATTATCTTTTAAATGATGTATAAAATGATTTTCAGTGACATCCTGACTGACTTAGAAGATGAAATTTAGGAGTGGCTGGATCAGCATGGTCCATTTGATGCAGTTATAGATGGTGCCAATGTTAGTCTTGTTAATCAGCGTGATTTCAACTTTTACCAGGTAAAGAAGATTCCCACAACATGATTATGAGACTACATATTTGGATTTCTTTGAAACATTTTGTTCCAATGGGGTTGTTAATGGTTTCTTTGGTTGTAGCTTAATAATGTTGTAAAAAAATTACAATCTGAGAGTCCATCAAAGAGATTGCCACTTGTTATTTTGCATAAAAATCGTGTTACTGGTGGTCCTGCTCGGAATCCTAATAACATGAAGTTGTTAGAGTTTTGGAAAAACTCTGGTGCTCTTTATGCTACTCCACCTGGTTCTAATGATGATTGGTAAGTCCCGTTTGGTGACAATAAATGGGTTGGATTTACTTTTGCAAAACACTATTTATATACTACTTTTGAAATATGTTTTTGTAAATGTATCTTGTAATAACAATTTGCTTCATTGCCTTTGAGCTCTTTAGCATGTTATGTACTATAAAATTCTATGGTTAATTACAGAAGGTAGTCTTTGTTTACTGTGATATATGCTGTCTGTTCTTGTTATAAACACAAATTCTGTAATAAGCAGAGTGCACAAGAACTTGGGTTTTGAAACTACTAGTATGGGTTTCAGCAGTAGTTTGGTTGTGGTGCTGTTAGTTACTATTTCGATTACAGAGACCAAATTGGGCTCTTTTTCATTCTGCTAAAGTTCCTAGAACCCCAAGGGGTTGGGCTGGTGGTTAAGGAGGTTGTTCCCTTCCTTGAGTTCCTGAGTTCAAACCTTGGGGTCACCTACCACAATAATATTGTGGCTTACCCAGTCTTTTGGGCTTGTAGGATGTTCAATGGACCCTGAAGATTAGTTGAGGTGTGCGTAAGCTGACCCAGCCACCTTAGTTACCCTTAAAAAAAAAAAAAAAACATCTCCTAGAGTAAACAACAGCAGATCTGTGAATTTGTGCTGATTAATCCGGGCTGAAATATCACATAAACTAGCAGTTTAATTTTCAATTATATAAACCCTATGTTAATATTTGCAATTGAGAATCATGATTCATTTGCATCAGTTCATGTTTATATAGATTTTCGTGGAATGTATGTGACCCATATGACATGCCAACTATGTAATCTTGACATTCATAGTTATTCTTTCCAGAAGTTTGTTGACACGTTTATTTTCAGGTACTGGTTATATGCTGCTGTTAGTAGTAAGTGTTTGTTGGTGACAAATGATGAGATGAGGGACCACTTGTTCCAGTTACTGGGGACTTCATTTTTCCCAAGATGGAAAGAAAAGCATCAGGTTTTACGAATCACTTTTATCTTCAAATTCTTACACTGAAGTTCCTTGAATTTTTTTTTTTTTTTTTTTCTCTCTGTGTATGTGTGTTGACCGAGTTCTAAATTGAATACTATTGCCAGACCTTACAACATTGTTAGTTAGGAAACTTGTGGCATTTGATATTCGGATATATTCATATTTTATGTTTTCTTTATGGAGTTACAATGATGAGGATTCCTCATCTAGTCAGTTTGTTATGCACAAATATGAGTGTCCTTGTTGTGGTATGCCTGAACTAGGATTCTGTAGCGACGATCCCTATTTTGGACTAATGGCCTAACTCATGTGTCGTATTTATTGATAATGAACTGAGCAATTGACTACATGTCGGTTTCAAGGGTTACCATTTCAGGTGCTCAAATTTGGATTAAATGTTACATAAATCATCTGATTCTTTAATATATACTTCCCAAGTCAAAATAGAAACAATCACGACTCATGTTTGGCATGGCATAATCAGACTTGAACTGATGACTTACACCATGTCAAGGTGACACTTTGCCGCTGAGTTATATCCATTCATTGCCCCCACCGAGAAATAGAATTGACTAATCCTATCAAGAAACTCAATGCTACTGTTGTTGAATAAGTTGGAACCGGCCTTCCTTTTGCACTATGACAGATATGAATTTAATGGAAAAAGTTGGATTTAATTGTCAACTACTCCTATAAATAGGACTGACTACGGATTTGAACCATAGCACATGCTTATAAAACTGTGCAATTCTCCTAATTTAAATTTAGTAGGTGTTACATGAATTTTGAGTAGGTATTACATGAATTTTGCTTGAAACTAATTGTTGCACTCTTAAGATTTTAGAAATTTATTCCAACAGAAGCTCACATTCTTGAAAAGTTTGTTGCGGAAAATTATATTTGCTAGAACTGTGGTTGACCTTTCTGTTTGAAGTAGCTTGTACTTGCATGTTTGCTTAATACTAACCACAGCCATATTACATATTTCTTACTGTTGCAAGCCATTCTTCCCTTCAGTCACTCCCTATACACTGAAGACAGTGGTCTGGAGAATGGCCAAAAACCTTTAATCTAACCCTTTTTTGCTGTCTAAATTTTCTGATTCTCTCCACTCATGCACTTACGCAGATGTAAAATTTTCCACAATGTTTTTGTGATTTGACCAATTGCCTATAAGAAATTATCCTGTTTCTTGGTTTCATTGTGCATGTGGCTTGAATAATCACAGATGGAACCAGATTTTTAGGTGACATGTGCTTTTGCTCTTTAGACTACATTACCACTTTAGAAAGCGATTTCACAGATTTACCTTATCTTAGTCTTTGAAACTGATGTAGAAATATCTCTAGTAAAAGGCACAGATGATGCTAAATGTTGCTTTCATTATTTATTTGAAAAAGAAATGATGAAAGTTGTGTTTTTGTTTACAATTTGCAGGTTCGGCTGTCTTTCTCAAGAGAAGGGCTTAAGTTGCACATGCCACCTCCCTATTCAATTGTCATTCAGGTGAAATAATCAGCAATTATGACTTGCAATTACTTACAATTATCAATACTAAACATACATTTTCTGGCTACGGATATTAATGTTTCTTGGGTAATAAAATGTAGGAATCGGAAAGTGGTAGTTGGCATGTCCCCGCGATCACAGATGATGATGGTGAGGCTCCGAGGCAGTGGTTGTGTGCTACCAGAAACAGAGATTAATCATTTGCATTCTGTGTAAACTGGTATTTATTCTTGCATCCATATAAAGAGGTTGGTTTTGAGTAAGAGAGAGAGCTGTGGCAAGATTCAATTGCAAGTTTTGAAGAATTATTTAAACTAAATATTCAAACTACAAATCTTGAGAAGTAATTGAAGAATTTGTCATGAAATTTGGAAGGCCAATTTATATCAACTCAAGGTATTTATGTATTCTCGTCATTTTTATCCTTAAACCCTCTTTGTTTGGGCTAAAAAATTAGTGCTTCGTTTTTCAATTTGTATGTTTAGATTGTACTTATACTTTTTTATGTTTAGATTGAACTTGTACTTTTATAAAACTTAACAAATAGGGATTGCTATTCATCATTTTTCAATAATTTTCATCAATCTTATATATTATATTAATTACAGAAGGAGGGTATAAGCCCCATTGAAAACAATTTTATTTGGGCTAGTAGAGTTATTTTTCTTTTAAACCCCAATTTTAAGAAATAACCCACGTGGATTTTTTTAACGTATGAATAAAGTTACCTATGTAAACTATTGAATATAATTTTAATCTATAATTCGAAAGAAAGTTATTATTTTTTTTTTTTATAATTACAAATAGTTGATTTTAATGGTATTTTTGTTTTTCTTGGTTGATAGAGAGAACAACAATTTTGATTGTTACAAAGGACACGAGCATTTAACTTGAGAAATATTAATGGGGATGGGCATCGGCCGGGGACCCTTTTTTCTGGGCCCAACCTGAAAGCCAAGGGGATTCCCCGAATCTGGCCCATTCCTTGAACGGGGAAGTCCGGGAATCTCCAAATTACGCTCGATCCCCAAGCGGGAATTTGTGGAATCTCCAAAATCCCGGAATTTAGATGTTGATTTCCCAAATTTTGTGGGCAAATCTATAATTATCAAAATATAAGGGTAATTAGGTAATGAAATTTAAATATTGATTCAATGAATCAAAATATCAAATGATATATTATACATATATAACATATATATTATGTATTAACATATGAAATATTATTATAATGTATAATTTTTGTTTCATAGCATATTATGTATAATGTATAATACATATGATACATTATACATTATTAATATATAACATATATATTATGCATATCAAATGATACATTATACATATATAACAAATTTATTATGTATTAAAAATATTTATAATGATTTATTGATTTATTATAATATATTAAAATAGTAAATGATTATGGATAATAACATATTATGTATAATGTATAATATATAATGCGTCAATTTTGTTTCATAGCATATTATAAATGATATATAATACATATGATACATTATACATATATAACATATATATTATGTATACCAAATGATACATATACGTATATAGCATATTTGTTATGCATTAAAAATAGTTATCACGATTTAATTTATTTAATATAGACAATTTATCTATTATTATTTATTACCCATTTGTATATGGTTTCACTCAATGTTCCCACAAATTTGTTATTATAATCACAGAATTTGATCAATTAATAATGTGAAACAATTAATTATTAAAATGGTATATATATATATGGGTGGGGCCGAGCCAAGGCAAGACTAACCTCAGCCTCAGATTCAGGGATTGAATTTTGGCCTTGACCCGGTCCCATCCTTAAACCATTCGGGGAATCTCCATTCCGTTCATGTTGGGTCCCTGATGGGGTAGGGAAAATGCCCATCCCTAGAAATAAATAAAATCAGGATTCAGTTTTGGAGCAAGCCAAAATCATGCAAAAGTGTTTTCTTAATAAAATCTAGGGAAGTAATTTTTCTTTAACTTCAACTTCAACAACAACGATCGAAACTCTAGAGATTTTCTTTATCTTCTTCACTGATTTTGCAGGTTATCGTCTTTTAATTCTCTAAATCTTCCATTTTCATCTCCAAAGGGGCCTAAACCTGAAAATGCTTTTTTCTTTTTACTCTTTCCATTTAAGTTCAACTTATTATGAATTTAATGTTATACAGATTCAGCAAGGATCTAAAAGAAGTTTTTATAAATAATACAATAATGTTCTCATATTTATTCATGAAGAACTAATTCTTTTGTGATTAAGGGTGATTTCAAAACCCTAGACATGTCTTGAAATTAATAAAATATGCATCTATTTATCTTTTGATCCCTCTTGGTTATGTGATTACTTCTCTATGAATAAGGTTTAGATAGATTGCCTTAATTGTTTAAGTGCGTAATTAAATAGTTAGGATTAATTTATTAATGCCAATTTAGGTTGTTTAGTACGTAATCGCTTTATTAACCTAAATAACTAGTGGTAAAGTATATGCCTGCATACATGGGGGGTAATCACTCAAGATAACTAAACTGACCATATGAGTTTAGCCTTGATTCAGTAGGTCTCTCGCAACTTAATGCTTTTATTACTTTGAATCTAGAGATCGTATCCTAGGTTATTTAATAAATAAGGAATTGGGTTATGACCGTGTCTAGGCCAACGAGTCAGTAAGGAGAGATGGGACTTATCAATGTTTGGTATTTTCTGAGCTGATGTGATCAAGAGGGTAGAAAGTTAAAGAGTGCTTTTATTATTTGTAATCTATGTCTAGTGGTGGCTAATAAACCTTCAATCTCGTTTCTCTCATTGATTTCTCTTTTGTTATTAGTTGCTTGATTTACATTGTTTGCTTTGAGTTTATTTAGTTTTTGTTCAGTTTTTATAATTCGTGACAAACCCCGTTAGAAGTAGATAATTAATTAAGTTCACAAATCCTTTACGGGAAAGACCCTTACTTGCTCTTTGCTACTACCGACTTTGCATCAGAATTTAGTGAGGTAAGATTAATTAGGTGTTGCATTTGCACGCATCACCTTCAGGTATTTAGAAAACCCTGAGCTCAAGTATTCACCTCCTTGATCTGACCAAAGAGCCTTAATACTTCTGCCCAACATATTCTGTATTTCATTCCTGAATTCTTTGAACTTATCAAAGGCTTCAGATTTATGTCTCATAAGTTAGACATAACCATATCTACTGAAATCATCAATAAATGTGATGAAGTAGGAATATGCACCTTTGGCTTCAACTGTTAGTGGACCATATACATCACTATGGATGATGCCTAATAGTTCAGTAACCCTTTCACTTTGTCCTGTGAAAGGTGACTTGGTCATCTTGCCTAAAAGGCACGACTCGCATACCTCAAATGACTGGAAGTCAAAAGGGTTCAAAACTCCATCCCTTTGAAGTTTTGCAATACGTGTCTGATTAACATGACCCAGTCTACAATGCCAGAGGTATGTATGGTTTTGATCGCTATGTTTAGCTTTCTTAGTTTCAATGTTGAGAATATCCTTATTATTTAAATCAAGAACATATAATTCATTATATAACTTTGCAATTCCAAATAGAATACCATTCAAACTAAAGGACAACAATACATTAGAAATCTCATAATGATATCCTATATTATCCAAAGTGGATACTAAAATAATGTTTCTAGAAATTACAAGTACAAAATAACAATCTTTGAGTTCCAATAATAAGCCCGAAGGCAAAGATAAACAATAAGTCCCTACAGCTAATGCAGCCACACATGCTTCATTTCCAACTCGTAGGTCTACTTCACCCTTAGCGAGCAATCTACTCTGCCTTAGTCCTTACACATCAGTACAAATATGAGTACCACACCCTGTGTCAATGACCCAAGATGTTGAAGGAGAGAAGTTAATATTAATCATGTACATACCTGAAGTCGAAGCGTCAACTTCTCCTTGTTCACGAGAAAAGCCTTGCAGTGTTTCCTCCAGTGGCCAGGCTTGCCACAATAGAAGCAGACTAGCTTCCTACCTTTCTCAACGCCACCCTCAAGCTTGAGAGCATCATGTCCTTTGAGCTTGGGCTTGGGAATGGCCTTGGCCTTTCTCTTGCCCTTACCCTTTCCTTTACTGGCACAACCAGTAAAACAAGCTTGGACCATTTCATGTCCTATTCCATAGTCCTCAACATGTTCAGAAGCTTTGACAGGGATTTCACCATCGTGTTCATGTTGAAATTCATAATGAACGGTGCAAAAGAATCAGGTAAGGATTGCATAATTAAATCCATTTGAAATTATGCATCTAACCCAAATCCTAGAGCCTGAAGCCTCTCTATGTACCAATCATCTTGAGCACATGAGGACCACCTTGGGCTCCCTCAGTCATACGACTTCTAAACAATGCACTCGACACCCTGTACCTCTCATGTCGAGCGTTTCCTTCGAAAAGCTCATTGAGGTGTAGAATTATGGCAGCAGTGTCCATATTCTCATGCTGCTTTTGCAACTCATGTGTCATCGATGCTAACATAAGGCATTGAACAATATCAGCATCGTCAAAGAACTTTGGTAAGTTTCCTTACTTCCTGAGTGGCATCAGGATCAGACTCAGCCAAATAAGGCTTGTTAAGGATACATAATTTCTTTTTGGACTTCACTACAATCCGAAGATTTTGATACCAGTTCGAGAAATTAGATCATCAAGCCTATTTTCTTTCTCGATTATTGATCGCAGGCTGGTTGGTAGCGTGCCGAATTCTCCAAATTAATAACCTTCCTAACCTAACTACTGAATTGCATAAAGGGTAAGCAAGGGTCGATCCCACAGGGAATGGTTCGATTAATTCCTATGTTCTAAAACAATGAAAACAATAGAAAAATAAAATAAAATAAAATGCTAAACAGTAAACATGACAATAGTAATGAAAAAGGGGTTGTAGTCAAGGCAAACTAATGTAAAACAGAGAAATCTCTAATGGAATAAAATATCAAGTTAAAAACAATCAGTTCTCGGTTCAAGATCCACCTAAATATGCATTGGACATAAACTAACCGTAACACTATTCTATCTCGTTATTATGGAACTACTGACCCTAGGAAACAACAGGCTCTGTTACCTAAATTCTCCCTTAGTTTGTCACTACTGAAACAAGCTCTTCGAGTAGATACTAACCCTTGAACAACCTAGAACAAGCTCTCTAAATTTAATTCAATGGCAGCCTTAAGAATTAGGAAAATAGATCAATCTAAGAAACAATCACGCAAGCTCGGATTATTTAACTTAGGTTATGTTATTCAAGACAATAGACCGAAAACTTGTCCATAATCAGCTATCATCATGTGTCACTCATTGAATAGAAAAAGGACAATTACGGATCACAATTCCTAATTCTAACAGATAAAATTCTGATGAAATAATTCAGCAGGCCATTACTAAATCACCCAAACAGAAAATTATAAACAATTAAAACAGAATAACATAAACAATTCCAATAAAAACGAGATTAAGAACAATGTTACTGAAGTTAGGCTGCACC